TGTGCGGTGCGGCCGCGCCAAATGAGGCGACGCTAAGCCTAATTGGGCACGCACCTCTAACATCTTATTTATAAAGTTTATAAGGATCTATAATTAATTTAAATATAGTTGTCTTAATATTTAATATTTTTATTCTTAAAGCTTCTTAATAATATTTAAAATAAGCTAGCTATTTATTATCTTAATTACATAACTAATACCTTAAATTAATATAACTACTTATTAAGTAAATCTTTAATTGGTTTTATCCCTATTATATAGGCCTATTATAAATAAATATATAAAGATTTTTTAATTTTAATTATTATTAGTTTTTTAAATATATTTGGTCTTAGGGGAACCACTTATTTTATTTATATTATCTATTACTTTATAAATATTAATATTATTTAAATAAGATTATAAATAAATAAGAATTTATGATTTATTAAATATAATATACTTTATCTTTTAAAATAATATACTACTATATTAGCTAAATAAGTCTAAAAAACAAAGAGATAGCTAATAGTTACTATTACTACTTTAACTTAAATATAAAATAAGTTATTATATAGTATAGCCACACTAAATAATATGATACTAAGCCTAATTACACATATACCTCTAATATAATATAACTAACTATAACAATAATAATATTAATATTAATATAAGGGCCTTCATAGTACTCTAATCATTATAAGCTTAACTATAAATATAATTAGTGCCTTAAATAATCAATTACTTGTTAATCAGGCCTATATAGCTTAAAATCTAATAATAATTAATATTAGGCGTCATCTCTATAGGATGGCTGATATTTTTTGATGGGGGCTGGGTGGGGGTGGGCGGCTCGGTGCCGAATTACGTTAACTAGCCTCATAGCCTCATGGGAATCCATCCTTCTTACATATGCCATAAGAACTGATAGCATATACTACATCCTCTTGCTTAAGACGTCACCACCACCAAGACCTAGCTCCCCTGAGAACAAGCTTGGTTCTGCGTTTCACTGGGCACCCTTTCTTTTTCTTTTCATTACCCCTGATCCCCTGATACGGCCGTTTCAACGTCACACTGCTCGACCGGTTATCCACCCCGCCCGCCCATGGCAGGCAGGGATCGGAAAGGAGACCAGTAGATCAAATCTATCATCTATCTACCTAGTTGACATACATCTCGCGTTGGTATATTCGCCTTCTACCGCGTGGATTGTCCCCGGAGAATTCAAGTCGATTACTTGCATCAACACCTACTACATCATCGAATCGCCCCCCGCACCAGCCACATCGCCGGTGAAGTCTATCGCTTACGCTTCAGCTACAGCAACCTTCCAGGAAGTGCCGACACGTCTCTATTTCCAGGCGGACTACCTAAGGTGATTGACAAAAGTTTGATCACCAAGGCAACGCGTTTCAAAGCATGGCAGACGATGCGTGATGCAGACATCACACACCATTCACAAGAACAACAATAAGAACGCGCCTCATAGCCAACCACCGTCCACGGAGTACCGGCTTCTCTTCAGGACCCTTACCCATACTAAATAACCTCCTTTCCAACCTGATCCCCCTCCAACCCAGCTCCCCAGGTATCACAACACAGTGGTCTTTATATTCGATACATCTAGCTCCCACCTCTTTCCTTTGTGTACCATCGAGTTTTGGTGATTCTCATCAAAGGTCACCATGGAAGAAGGTCCAAATGGCCATGGGACGCCGAAAACATCGTCAGAGGCATTAACTGTTGACCAAATGTTGCAAAGGTATTCTAAGAAGAATGTAGAGAGAGCTATATTCCATCGAGACTATGTCAGGTATGCTATGGCTTGACATGTTATATTATGGCTTGTAGGATCTAAGCTAATCATTATATTTTCCAGTGAGAGGACCAGGCTGATTGAAGAATATAATATTATGATCACCACCGGCCATAATGTGGAAGTTGCTACCCGAGCCCGTGATACATTCATAGAGGATACACCGTCACAACCTCCGTAAGGATCATAATATCCCCACCACCAACCCAGCTGCTGACATGCTATCATAGGATCGACCCCGATGAGCCAGCTGACTTGGACCCTGATGTTTTGTGGAGGATTAAGATTCTCAAATACATGTACCGTGATAGTCCCGTCATTCGTCCCGATAGTATCCTTGACATTGACGCTATGTCTGTTGATCCCGACACTATCGTCAATCGCGATGCTATCCTGAACGCGTACCGTCATGGCAACCTCAAAGTGGTGTTCGGGGAGGTGAGCGTATGGTTTGCAGGCAACTTGGTTGTTGGGCCCGTACAAAACAGCAAGCTTGACCAAGACCATATCATCGACAAGGTTCCAGAATGGAAGGAGAAGTACGGCCCTGGTCGTGTCTGGCAGGAGCGTGTGTGTTTCCCATGATTTTCTTCCTTACCTTTACGCAACATCTGACTGTCTATAGCCAAGCCAGAGATTTCGTGAAAGAAAGTGTCAGGGCATCCTACCTGCAGCAGACGACAACTGGACCCATCTTGTCAGCTCACATCCCCCGACCCTTCATCAATTATAGTCCGTCTCATATCTCTAGTTTAGCATTAGAGCTCGTCTGATCGGTAACACCGAATTCATTACTATCAACAACATTCTCGACGATACAGGCAGTGATTTTCTTGAATTGTTCTTGCTTGATGATTGTGTTAAACTTGGTCTTACGCTGGACTATGAATACTGGGGGGAAGATATCGAGCTCGAAATAAGCTCCCACGACAATATTAAGCGGCCTTCAATCCTTGCTGAAGTGCAACTTGTTCTGAATGGGGCACCTTTCGGACCAATTCTTCGTGTTAAAGCTACAATTAGTTCAGGGCGGGGAGGGGAACAAGCGCGGTGTTCGGGGATGGAATTTAGACGCCATTTTTTTTACAGCGACAAGTCCGTACGGACATGGGGATCTACATCTGTCAGACATCAAGACCGGCGTGACAGTCCCTCTTCGTGCGAAACCAAAGTGAAGTTGTCTTGCTAATTTGGTGCTCGCTGCCCTTTTCGAGGTCTTCAGTAAACACTATTAAATCACTAATTGGGATGAATGGAGGGAGCGGGTGAAATCAATAGAACCTAATGTGATTGATCATCAGAGTGATGAGGTAAATTATAGCTATTTTCAATATCAGAGGCACCGATGGTGCTAATAATTTATCCTAACATAGAAGAGCATGACCCCTGACGAGAGTAATAAATTCGTTTATTTAGAATAGATTATAAATTAAAATAATGAAGAGGCTTGATAAATAATTCTTATAGATATTAAAATTTATAAGAGATATAATGTAATGATCATATCATATCATATAACTATATATATAGCCATGCACTATTGTACAGTATAGGGCAGCATGATTCTGCTGTTTTTAGTTCCTGCAGTTCCCTCATCAGTTTTTCCTCTCCCTCTGGCCTCCATCGTCTCCGTCAAGCCTCCCCCGCATGGTTGTGAGGTTTAAGGCTTGTATTATAAATAAAAAAGTAAAAATTATTAATCTATTTAATTACTTATTAAATCTATTTTCTTAAGAATATTTATAATATCAAATAAATCAATATAAATAAGAATAAGGCCTTTATTTTAATCTTTATTATAATAACTCACTTCTTTAATTATATGTTGGCCTAGTAGGCCTAGAAAAGGGAAGAGATAACTAATGATTACTATTGCTGCTATAGCTTAGATATAAAGTAAGTAGTTATATAATATAGCTATATTAAATAAGATAATATTAAGTCTAATTAAGTATATATCTTTAATATATCCCTTATTATTAAGTACTTATCTAGATTAGCTAACCTCTTATTTAATATTAATTAAAGCATATAATAGTAGAAAAAAAAGAGATTATTTACTTATTAATTATTAATTATTCCTTATTTAATTTATTTTTAATATAGGTTAGTATTATTACTTTTTAAAGATTAACTAGTTCTTTAAATATAATATACTTTACTTAATCTAGAGGCTTTATTAGGCTATTAGTAAGGTTTATATAACTACTTATTTATTTAACCTTAATTAGCCCCTTATTAATTATATTATAAATAAAAAAATAATAATTATTAATTTATTTAGTTATTATATTAAAACTATTATTCTTAAGAATATTTATAGTATTAAATAAGTTAATATAAATAGAAATAAGGCCTTCCTTTTTAATCTTTATAATAATAGTTAATTTCTTTAGCTATATAGCCTCTTTAATTACTTATAATAAGATATAGAATTTAGTAATAATATTTAATATAATAATAAATATTTATTTATATAAAGCCTATAAGATTAAGGC